CTGATGTGTCCGATCGGGGCAAGTGGCCCCGCTCGTCACATGACGAACGACTCAACGACAAGCGACCCGAGCTTGACACGCGACTCAACGGAGAGGTCGCGCTACGAACAACACGAAGCCCCCAATGAGGGCTCTGCATATCCATAAAGGTTGCATGAACATTAGGGAGCCCCCAATAGGGGGCCTGCACACGACAAAGGTTGCATCGAGGACTAGCTGATCGAAAGATAGTCCTATACATCAGAATGAAAGCAGTTTACATTTCACCTCGTTGTGCGCACCGCGGCAGACCCACGGCATTGGCGAACAAGCGAGGACGCTCCGTGTATCCAAGGCAGACCCTAGGGATACAACATGTCCCACGTGACTCCGTGCTTCAGCGTCACAGTGTCATGAAGAGCATGTCCTTTCCAGTCACTGGGCATTTGCGTCCACAGCCGACGTTCCAGTTCTTTGAGACATATGATATGGCTTGATATTGGTCCACTGTATTGAGCTCGGACACTGTAAAGTTGGTGAGGGTGTGGACAACCTCAACTCCTTTGACGGCAATGTACTGGTCTCAGTATGTTGGTTTTTGTGGCTGGAAACACTCAAATGCAATCTACTCGACATCACGTTTTCAAAACTGTGAGAATTAACATAAAACAGCCCCATGAACAATTATTACTTGTGAAATTCAATAGATCGCAGCAAAGAAGCCCAGGTCCAAGATATTGGTGTCCGGGGAGTTTGGCAGCTGGGGGACGAGCGAGAAAACCCAACCTTTCATGCCGTATTCGTCGAAGGCGGCCTTGAGTTCCGTGTCCATGGAGGTGACGTGGGTCCGGGCATTGTCGTGCTGTAGCACCACCGTCTTGTCGGGAATTGGTCATATTGCCTCAATTGAGGGTAGGATTTTCTCGAGAAGGAAGGCACGATATACATCCTTTGTAACCGTGATTGACTTGATTTCGTAGGTACCAGCCGGGCGGTTGATGCTGGCGCGTTGAGCTGGTACTGACTCGACGAACGGCCACATGCCTATCTTGCCGTCCCAACACGTGCTGGTTTCGTTGGGCGACCAACAGTGCTGAGGAACATAACCCGTGTATGTACCTTTTGCTTTCACATGTTCGTTGTGGTTCGCGTTCCCCAGGAACAAGGTGGTACTTACGAGTGATCTTTGTAAGATAAAACCATTTCTCCTCCAGATGCAGTAGTGTAGCATGTCCGACAGATGCATATCAGCCTTGACCATTGCCATGGCAAGCTTGAGCATGGCAAACTTGAGGCGACAGTATTTGTTAGCGTCCGTTAGGACTGGACGTATCGCATTCGAGTGGGCACGGAACAACCCAAGTTTCAAGTATCGGTGCAATGAACCACAACTTAATCCTATTAAATGCTTAGATGAAGTTGCATTTCCTGCCATAGCAGTGTTTTCAGATATTGAACGAAGCGTTGTTCGTTGTGCAAGAGGCACCTGCAGCAGCTTGACCTTAACTTGCTCGGCTGGGTAAGCTATTTTTCCGCCTGCTTTGCCATTCTTTTTGTTTGCTACAGACACTTTCATGTTACCATGAGAGACGCCTTGGGCCTTGGCCAACGCAATGATTCGGCGTATAGTAGACACGTGGCACTGGTCTTTTGCAGCCAGCAACTGACTTGTGCCTTTAGGCAGCCGGGTGGGAAAGCCGTTGTTGCTTTGGAGCAGGACTTCCCGAAGGATGGCTTCGCGCTCCTCGTTCGTCAGGTCGGCCGTGTTGATGACATTTTAAATGTGTGTCAATTCTTATGTATGATTTATATGGAAGGTTGTATGCTGCCTTTGACTCGGCAAAAGTGACCCGCGTTTTTGAGATTCGTGCTCAAACTTACACACTGAGAAAGCTCTTGGCGCGCTCTGTGCAATGATCCAATCAGAGGTGTCGATTCAAGATTTGAGGAGGCATGCGCACAGCCTGAATTTGTCTTCAAAATTTAATTGTCAGTCATGTACACCCTCTTCAAACTCACGCGATTTTTGTGGGACAGAGGGAGTAATATAAAATACTACCTCTGTCCCCCAAATATTGCAGGTAGTATCATATGTCGGTCATCTCATCTCTGATTGGTTTGAAAATTTGTGGGTTGGAAGACCAATGGTTCACGAATAGATTATTCACGTCAATTATATTTCACTTTTCGACCCGCAAGGGCTGATGGAAGATGCAATACAAAACACAAGTCAAATTTAACTGACGACCAACGGAAATGCTTGTACCTTGAGCTGCTAAAGAGGAGCACTGACGGCAAGGTATCCCGCGCACTTGATAGCACGTTTGGAACGCTACAGAGTGTTATTGCTGCAATTGTGGACCTGGTGACAACCGTTACAAGGTCCCGCGCAGTGTGAATTTTCAAGCTGATATTTTGGCGCTCGACATGATGAACTTGCGGCTGGAAGAAGAAGATCGGTTGGAAGAACCGACGCAGATGATGGACGTTTTGGTCGTCGACTTTGAATAGATTTGTACTACTCCAGTAAAAACTTTTTAAATAGAGATTCCTTGTATTTGAATTTGGTGTACAGCAGTCCCCCGCAATAGGGAACCCACAACTAATTAATATCCTCTCAAAAATTAATTCTTGTCGAAGAAGTACTGAAAAATGCATTTGTAGAGGCGGATTGAAAATTCAAATAACTTGAAGTCCCGCGTTTTGTCTTCTGGAGGTTGCCAGGGTATCAACCCCCTCCTGAATTCGAATATGATGTCCGTTTTTGAATTCAAGCACTTTTCATTCAATACCACATGTATATTCTTGTCCTATCAACACCGAGCGACCCATCCTGTTTAATTTTGTACTTGTGTAAATTGACAACCCTTAAAAACATATCGCCAA